CCCGGGGGCCCGGCAGCCGCTGGGCGGTGGCAGGCAGCTGCAGGGAGAGGTAGGCCGCCGCCTCCGTCTGCTTCTGCAGCTCGGTGTCGAGGATGGTGACGCGGTGGCTCCGCCGCTTCAGCTCCTCCAGGAACCGGCGCTCCTTGGTGCGGAGGCTGGACCGCAGCGCGGCCACCAGCGCCTCCTTGTGCCGCAGCTCCTTGCGCAGCTCCAGGTTGTCCTTCTCCTTCTCCTGCAGCTGGGCCTCCATCGCCCGGCACTTCTCCTCCAGCTCCCGGTCCAGGATGTCTGTGGGGGCAAGGCACAGAAGGGGGTCAGGGGATGCAGCGGGGGCTCAGCCCGGCACGATGGCCTCATCCCACAGCTCCTGGCGGGTCCCCGTATGCTCCCGACATGACTGTGAGGGCATGTGGACACGGCTGCCCGGCTGCTCCATGGTGCTGGCGTGTCCCAGCAGTGCCATCGAGGCTGCTCGGGCGCTTTTGGGAGCTAGGGTTCCAAAACTCCTCATGAGCTGCCTGAGCGTGGGCTCCCTGACAGCACAAGCGGCCTTTCCCCATGCACTGCAGGCAGGCACAGGAACCCCCGTCAGCCCTGAGCTGCAGTGCTGCAGGCACACCCAAACGCGGGGGGTGAAAGCAAAGGCAGTTTCAGCGGAGGATGCTGTTGCCATGGAACCTGCCACCTCTGCCTCGCTGCAGTCTCGTGCTGCAGTTTTAAAATTTCCCTGGGTAACTAGTTTTTCACCCTAAAAGTGACTTTGAGTGTGTGCAGAGGGTACGGGGGAACGTACGGGCTGGGAGAGAAAAGGACATGGCGGCAGTGAAACCATCAGCCCAACTTAGGAGGGGTCGTCGACCTCAAGCCCCAAGACTCCCCAGCCTGATTAGCAAGGATGGAGATGCTAATCCAGGATTACGGAGGAGCTGGGCTGTGCTCGGCAGGGAAGAAACCCCCAGTCCAGGCGGGAGGAGTGGGCCAGGGGGCAGGATTGCCAGGCAGCCAGCCCCCCCCGGCTGCTGTGTGCTCACCATGCCATCACCTCTGGTTACTAATGCCTGACCTGTTCATCTTTCTGCTCCTGGCAGCTGCCTGCCAGCGACGGGGCGTGGATGGGACTTGTTAAAACAGAGGTGCTGCATTGAGCAGCAGGTTCCCCATGGCTCCCATCACCCTTCCTGCCCTTCCCACACCTCAGCAGGTGACGGACGCCCTCCCTGCCCTGGCCCTTCTGAGTCATACCAAAGGCACCCAAAAAAGTGTGACTTCACATGGGGCTCTGCATGCTTCTCCTGCACACCCTGCACCGCTCTGGCCAGCCCGCATGGGCTCCCTTCCACCTGCCTGCAGGAGGATAACACCTGCCTGACATCCATCCCACCATTCATCCATCCATCCATCCATCCCACTCGCCATCCATCCTTCCTCCATCCCACCCACCATGGTGGCGTCAAGAGACTGCATTGAGTAAACACCTGTAGAGCAATTTGGATAACAAAACTTTGCATTTCCCCAATCCCTTCTGCCTAATTGGAAGGGTGGAGAAGATAAGGGGGGAAGGAGAAGCATGGCAGCCACAGCAACTCATTTCCCCACTGCCTAATGACCTTGAAAAGCTGGAGGAGATGAAGGATGAAGGATGACTGAGTAAACACCTGTAGAGCAGTTTGCATTTCCCCAATCCCTTCTGCCTAATGACCTTGAAAAGCTGGAGGAGATGAAGGATGGAGGAGAAGCATGGCAGCCACAGCAACTCATTTCGTGGTGACTCTCTCCTCTCCTCTGGGCAGCCTTCGATCTGCTATGGAAATGCACTAAAGGTGTCCCTGTACAAGGGCACCCAGGTCCTGCCCCATGGCCATGTACGGGTCCACGAGGACGCTCTTCTGTGCCCCAGGAAATGTGCCCCCACACCCCAGAGGGACAGGGCTGGCCCGGGCACCCCCCACCCCGAGAAGTGCTCCTGCAGGTTGGCATGGCCGGGAGCCCTGTGTGCTGGGGGGCTCCTGGGGGCCTGCAGTCCTCTGCGGGTGGTGGCCTTGCACCTGAGACAGTGGAACTGTCTTGCAGGTGATGCATTGGGAAGGATGCTCTGAAACGGGAAAGAGGAGTTACTGGAGCGTTGCTAGCAGCCGGATTTCACCTCCCCTCTGCACTCTGGGGCGGGAGGGAGCAGGGGGCTGTGGCTCAAAGTGCTCTTGTCCTCGGCCAAAAAGCATTATCATCTCCAAAAGGAAGGGCATGCTGCTCGCGTGGGGCTCTCACAGGACCCTGGGGACCTGGCCCAGGCACAGTTTTCTGCTTGCGGCTGCTGCAGCTCGTGACCGGCTGCATTCCCTATGTTCAGCCCTGGGAGGTGTTTGGGGGACGGGAGCTGCCCGAGGAGGTGACATGTCCTGCCTGGGGGTGCGAGGTGGCAGCTGGAGCAGCCGGCACGGGGGACTCGCACCCTTGCGGTGAAGGGGCCGAGCTCAGCGGGCAGCGGGAGGGCTGGGCTGTGCGGCCGCGCTATGAACCTGGCACAGGGGCACGGGGGGCTGGACCACCTTGGGGAACCCTCCCTGCCTGCGACCGGACTCCTGCCCCTGGCAGCCCTGGCTGCAAGCTCCTGGACCCAGCCCTTGGTGGGGTGCAGGGAGGAGAGCGAACGCTCCCTGCTGAGGCTGGCACCCGCCTGCGCTCACCCCTGCGTGCCCAGGCTTGCTCCCATTGTCTGCAATAATCTCTGCTTTCTATGATACGATTTGCAACCGCTTTATAGCTTCAGCTCCTAAGTGTCTTCTGCAGAGGAAAAATGCTTTATAATGAGATCTTAAGGGAGGCAGTTGCACGCAGTAATTATTACATGAGTGGCATTTGAAAAGCAATCATTTGATGGCATCTTAAATTAGGTGGTTGCCCCATAAACGTGGCAAACGTGATCCTACTCTTCGTAAGCTGTTAAAAGGCTGAAGGATGGGCAGAGACCTGTGGGTGGGATTTGCTGCAAATTATGGCCTGTGACGCACCGATGGCACCCAGAGGGCTGGACACAAGGCCCTCCCGGGGGGGGAAGGGACCCCGGGCTCAGTTGGGGGGTGTGAGCTGGGAATGGGGGTCTGCTGGGGGCTGTGATGGGCTGAGAGGGGCTGGGTGTGCACCGCCTGCTGTGCATCCTCCTCCCGGGGATGGCCCAGGGGCTGGGAGCACCACATCCCCCTGGAGCCAGCCATGGCACTGAGCAACGGTGCTGCCAAGGGACAAGAACCCTGACGGTCCTGGTGAGAGTGGCCCTGCGCCTGCCCTGGCACCACCAGCCCTGGCTCTGAGGACGAATCGCAGACTGGGGCTCAGCACCAGGGACCAGGCCTGGGCAGCGCCAGGGACGAATTTCAGCTTCCTCCCTGGGACGGAGGAGGAAGAGGAGCCGGGCTGCACACAGAGCATCCTCTGCCGGCCACGGGTGCCCGGGCACCACTGCCTGCCCCTGCCTGACCCGTGTGCTGTTGGGGATGGGGATGTGTCACCCAGAGCCATGCGGTGGCATTTGCTGGCCCACAGGAGCAGCGTGGTGAGGGCAGTCTCAGCCTGTGGCACCTCGGGACAGAAGCAAGACCAGGCAGAACAGGGCCCCAAGGGACACCCTGGGGACACCATCACGCACCCCCTCCCCGCTGGGCTGTGGACAGAGCGGGGCCATGGCTCCAGCCAGGCGGGCAGTGGGAGCCCTGGGGCACCGCAGCCCTGCTGGAAAGGGGGCAGCAGCCACCTGGGAAGGGTGGATGAGCCGGGTACATCCTTTGGGGGACCACCCAGCTCCTGCCCGTGGGCCTCGCTGGCCACAGTCCACCGCCCGGAGAGTTGCCCAATGCATCCTGCTCGGGCGTCAGGCTGGCCAGACTCTGCTCCGCAGGTCAGGGCTGCGGGTGCATGTGTGTGTGAGTGTGCGTGTGTGTGTGAGACGCAGGGAGTGGCTGCATCCGCCTCCAGATGAGGATGCTCAGGAAGGTGGGGAGCAGTGCCCAGCTGTGTGCTGGCAGCGGGATGCTGTGCCGGGAGTGTCCCTACTATGCCAGCATGTCCATGTGCAGCCGGGCACAGCCCAGCCTGCAGCCAGGCCCCCTGCTCCCCCTGCTCCTCTGCTCCCCCAGCTGGCTGGGCACTGGTTGCTGGAGGAGAGGAGCTGACCCAGCCTGCCTTTAGCCCCTTGGAAATCAGGGTGAGCTCAGCACCAGCTCCCTGCTCCTGTGCCTGTCGGCACGGCCTTTCATTTGAAAACCTGCTCTCAGCCGCTGGGTTGAAGGGCCAGCCTGCTGTTTGCCAGTGCTGAGAGATGCCAGAGCCCCATCTTGTGCTGGTCTGGTAGCAGATGTCCTGCCCGACACGGCCTCGGGATGGGGGAATTGCCCGTGGGTTTGATCCCAGGGGAATGAGGCTGCCTTCGGGCTGGAGAAATGCTTTGCCAGGGCTCTCCAGGCAGGCAGGGCTGCCTGTCCCAGCACATGCCCTTGCCTCAGGCAGCAGCCCAGGAGGGGCTGCAGGACACGGGGCCGGGTGGCCCAAGAGGACAGCGTGTTGTGCAGTGCCTTTTGGGCAGCTCTCTGCTGCCGGTCCCAGGCCTGGGATAGTGCCTGGAGTTTGCAGACATTTTTCATGCACCAAGACTTTTCTCCCCCTTATTTTGGAATGTGAAAGATTATTTTGTGGGCAAAACTGACTGTTCGATGAACCAAAGGCGCTGGGAGATTTTCTGAATCAGCATCTGGATTGCAATCGGTGAGGGGAGCTGGCGGGGGGGGGGCTGATAATGTCCTTGCTGGCTTTTTCCTGGGGCTGCAGGGTTTGCAGGCTTTGAGTCCCGCCCTGGGGGTCTGTGAGCTGCTCCTGGGGGTCTGTGTCAGGGCATTAGCAAAGTCAACCTAGTGCACACTGACTTCCCAGCCACAGCCCTCCCCTCAGCCCGACTGTCCCCTGCAGACAAGGGCCATGTCCCCTCCCCGGGTGGCCCCGACGGGCCCCCTCTGGCTGCAGGCTCTTCGGGCAGCCCCCCGCACCCACACACACTCCCCCTTATCTTATCTCGTGCACAAACCTGTGCTCTTACCTTGCTGGCGGGCTTCCAGCTCTTTTATTTCCAGGTCATGGGTGAGCTCTGGAAGAGAAATCAAACAGGAGTGAGAAGGAGCATCCCGCCTGTCCCACGCGCTCCCTGTGTCTCCCTCTGCTCCCCACCGGGCTGCTGGGGCACTGGCAATCACCATGACTGCGGTGCTGCCTCTGCCCGGCCCACGGTGTGAGTGTGGCCATCTCGGAGCACCAGCCACAGACTGAGCCAAAAATAACGGGCCCCCTCTGGCTGCAGGCTCTTCGGGCAGCCCCCCGCACCCACACACACTCCCCCTTATCTTATCTCGTGCACAAACCTGTGCTCTTACCTTGCTGGCGGGCTTCCAGCTCTTTTATTTCCAGGTCATGGGTGAGCTCTGGAAGAGAAATCAAACAGGAGTGAGAAGGAGCATCCCGCCTGTCCCACGCGCTCCCTGTGTCTCCCTCTGCTCCCCACCGGGCTGCTGGGGCACTGGCAATCACCATGACTGCGGTGCTGCCTCTGCCCGGCCCACGGTGTGAGTGTGGCCATCTCGGAGCACCAGCCACAGGCTGAGCCAAAAATAGATGATTCTGGCAATTTGTATGTTATTAAGCAGCCTTGAGGTCTGATATCTGCCACGGCACTTGCCCCTGCGATGTGGCCAAGGCGGTGTCTGCAGGTCCTGCCCCACGGCGGAGCAGGAGGCTCCATTTCTCTGGCAATGCCTTTTCTTTTTCTAAGAGAGTTGCTGAACCATTTTTGGTGCTTTAAATCAGGACAAAGAGCAGAGCAATGGACTGAAAATAGACCAAAGAGTAAGCTGCCACCCGAAGTATTTCATAATTTACTGCTTCCAGGCTGATCTCTGCCTCTGCACGTGATGCAAGCGGGACAGCCTCGTCCCTGCGCAATGTCCCCACAGAAGGATGCTGCCCTGCCCTGGGGGCAATGTGTAACTTCAAAATCCCCTCTCAGCCTGCCACCGAGCCCAGCCTGGGTGCTGCAGGTATCTCCCTGGATGGAGCGGGGCAAGGCAGTGGCAGTGCTGGAAAGAAGCTGCTGTTTGCGGGCAGCTGTGGCCCCAGCCTCCCGAGGGAGGCTCCTCAGGCCTGCTGGATACAGACGTTCCACCGCGGGACATGGGCTGCGGACCTCGGGCACCACAAAGTGTCCCTGTGACTGTCCCATCTCCCACTGCCGCAGGCCCAGGACAGGGTGGCGGTGCTGCGGGTCTGGGGTCTGGGTGCAGGCAGCTGCAGGCAGAGCTGCCCCACGCCCACACTGCACCCAGGAGCAGCAGCAGCAGCAGCGAGGGCAGCGTCCTGCGGGGATGAGGCCGTCGCAGGGCTGCAGCCCCTGCCCGCCTGCTCAGCCCTGACACGCTGCCTGCTCGCTGCCTGCACTCTGCCTGCTCTCTGCCTAGCCCCGGGCTACAAAACCAGATCACAAAGGGCAGTGAGGGAAGGAGCTCAGGGACTTCCTGGAGTTCACTTTAACCTGCATTCCTTCACAGACAATCTCTTTTGAATTAATTATGACAGCCCATCAAACCACCAGCAGCTCTGAGAGGAGAGGGGGAGCAGCAGCATTTGGTTGTTTTCGGGCTTTTTTTCCCCGAAAATGAGTTCAAATGGTTAATCTTTGCCCTACATTTTTCTTTTAATCTGCTTTCATGTTGACTCTAATCCTCATCACTGCCATCCTTCTGAAACGAAACGCTTGGCTCAGGCTGCTCTGCCCGTCTGTCTTGGAAAACAAATCTGTAGTGAGAAGGCAGAAGTACCCGAGAACGTAATGCAGTTTCTGGAAAGCTTTCAGCACTCCTGACTGCCCCATTGGAAATCAATGGCAACTGTGTTATTTTTCTGAAGCTAAAATAATAGGTTTGGAGTCTCAGATATATTTGAAATGAAAACTAAAGCAGTTGCCCATTTCCAAAGAAGCCATTGCCCTGCTGAGTGAGTGCAGGGCTTGGGAATGATGCACAACCTGGGGTCCCAGCTTCTGCGCTGGAGCCACGGGGGCTGGTGGGAACCTGCCCCAGTACCGTCCCCAAGACCCCCAAGGGGCGAATCCAGGGGGGAGCACCCTGCAGGGCTCTCAGGTGGTCCTGGCCTCTGCGGGATGGATCCAGCTGCTCTGCACTTCTGTATCCCGCCTCCCGCGCTGCCGGCCCCGGCTGCAGCCGGCTCCCAGCAGCTCTCCCGCTTGGCCCCGGTGCCTCTGGGTGTCCCCTGCGCAGGGCAGGGGACGGGGCACTGCCGGGTGATTCACTTCAACCTGCCTGGTGCAGGAGGTGGCTGAGGAGGGGTTTGTATTCCCTGCCGTGGGCTCGGACACATGGGTCTGCCCTGCAGGAGCTACCCAGCCTCAGCCCCAGCCCCAGCTGCCCGAGGGCCCGTGACCCTCTTCAAGGCAGCTGTGTGCCCCTCGGGGGGGGGCTAGACACTCGCAGGCAAGCTAGAAATGCTTTTTAAGACACGGCTTCACTTAATGCGTCGGGCTTCCCCCTTTCCTGCCCGGGAGGACTATCCTGGTGCCCCAATTGCAGAGGGACCGTCGGCACAGCCCGTCTGGCCAGCTTTGCTATCCACCGCACCGCCTGCAGTGACCCCCCC